TGAGGTCCCTTCACTCTCCAAACCCCACCCTCTCCTGGACCCACCCCCAAAGTCTCCAGGTATTTTCCAAGCCAGACCTGGCAGTGGCAACCCTATCTCCAATGTACATGGGCTGTTGTTTCTGCAAAACAGGAATGCATGGAGAGAAGGCACTCCATGCCTGGGCTACCTGACAACTCTGTGACTTCAACCAGCTGCTGAGAAGGCCCCAACCCCAAACATGGCAGCTCTACAGCTCCTGGCAGACCCTTGAAGTGATTGTTCCTCAGACACCAGAGGGGAAGGCCTCTGACCTGCCTCTCTGCCACGCACCATTTGCTTCTGCACTGAGTACTTCAAGGTGACTCTGGGTGGCTCTTGCTACCAAGAAAAGTAGCAACAACATTGTAAATGAGTGCTGGCACATTCCCGTGACACATCTATTGAAACAACTTGCTCGGTATGTTAGTTCCCTTGACTTCCTCCCAAGGGGCAGCCCCTAAAGGATGTTTGCAGGCCTGCCTGGCAAGGGTTTGGAAACAATCTGGCTTCTCCCAGGATAGGCCATTTCCCAGCTGTCTGGAGCTCCACCAGCCTCAGAATTGGGGGTGGAGGGATAAATCCACACCCTATCTTCCCCTTCTCCCTTTGGAGGTGAGTTTTGACTTGGCCCTCATATTATGTTCTCCTCGCTGCCAGGTGTCGGGGACTCTAAACTAGCCCTGGTGCCTCCTACAACTTCCAGGTCTCCAGAGAAATATGTCACCAAAGTACACAGCGTTTGCTACCTGAATTGAGCCCTGATTCGGTCACAGTTGCCAAGGCAACTGAGGCGCTTGCAGCCATGACAGTTTTTTTAAAAACAGCATTTTGGGCTGTGGCTGGCTGGTGGGCTCCTTCCTTTTCTCTTCCTGAGGGCTGAAATGGATCTCCCACATCTCTCCTTGTGGTTCCAGGGCCCAGTAATGGGGAAGGGGGTCTTCATATGTTTCAGGGGTCCAGAGGAGCCCAGCCTAGACTATAAGCCAATCACTACATGGTTTGTTTACAGTCCTTTTGACTCCTTTTGAAAATGAAGCACAATTTTATGAGATTGTTTTCAATGGAATGGTTTGCCCCTGGCTTAGGGAAGCAATTCTTGGGCCCTGTTTCCAGTGCAGGTGTGATAAAATGGAAATCTCCGTTCTGTGGAACTGTTTGTATGTTCGCCCTCTACAAAAAGGAGGCTTCCAACTTCAGTGACTTTCTGGGAGGGTCACCCTAGCAGGAGGGAAAATAGATTGGTAGAGCATAGTAACCCTCTCCCCCTTTAGAAGATAAAGGAAGCTCATCCCCCACCCCTTGCTGATGTGCGACTTGTGTCCCTTGAAGTGGGCGCAGCAGGGATACTAAGTGACATGGGAAGAAGAAGAAGAGAAGAGATTGGGTTTATACTCTGCCCTTCACTCGGAGTCTCAGAGCGGCTTACAATCTCCTTTCCCTTCCCCTCCCCACAACAGACACCCTGTGAGGTAGGTGGGGCTCAGAGAGCTCTTTGGAGAACTGCTGGTGAGAGAACAGCTCTGAGAGAACTTGTAAGTGACCAAAGGTCACACCAGCAGCTACATGTGGAGAAGCAGGGAATCAAGCCCGGTTCTCCTACATTAGAGTCCATGCTCCTAACCACTACACCGAACTGGGAAGAGGGTGTCAAGCTGGAGTTACCAGATGTCCTCTTTTGTGTGTGTGTCTGTCCTCTTTTGGGCTTTTAAAAAAAATCTGATGAAAATGTCATCTTTTGGGGTCCTCTTACTAGGAATGTTCCTAGTAAGTAGCAATTATCACAGCTTAAACAGTAAGGGCATTTGGAATGAGAGTTGTCATCGTGATCACTTGTTTGAAGCAGTCAGTTGGGAAATATGTCCTCTTTTTTGCTTTGCAAAATATGGTAACCCTACTCAAGCACTGTGCTCCCAAAGAGCCTATGCATCAAGGCAATGTCCACGCATATGCTCCCTTCCCATAACTGAAGATGATGCTTTCCAAACCTTGCTGATAACAGGGAGGGAGCAGATGCATGGATATTGCCTCTATGTGGAGATGCCATGCGCATGAGCGGGCAGTCACAGAGGAGTGGGGGGACAGCTCACTGATGCCTGCTCTGCCTCTCCATACAAAGGGGTCATGTGTCCAAAGCTTTAGAGTCTCTCTTGTGGTTTTTCAAATGCAGGAAAAGACCATTCTGTTCTACTTTTGCAAAACAGCCCTAAGTGTGTTCCCTCCTCCAGTTTTAGGGTGGACCTTTAGGATGGTTTGTTTTAATTTTTTTTTTTTTGCACGTGATCTTAAGATGTTTTGATAGTTTTGTGCAACAGTTGAAAAATGCTTTAGAAACCTAGGGAAACAATTTCAGCAGTAGGAGCTGCACATAGCCTGCCCCCCCCCCCAAGAGATGAAGGTCTGGTGTTTAGGGGAATCGTCCCTTCTTACAGAAAGCTCTGTAAGTTCTATGGTGGCCTTTGCTTTTTTCCAGCAGCCAGCAAGTACATTTTTTTCCACCTCAAACAAATGTGGATCTGTTGTAAGTGCTGACTCAAAGAACTGGATTTGATGAGTATTGTTTTTTTGCTCCCCGTGCGTGGGTACGGAGTTCCAGGGACAGTCGAATTACCAGTGTTTTCATAATTTCTATTTCCCAATACATGAGCTGAGCCAGGCAGTGTGGAAGCAGACAAGGCCCTCAGACAATGCTAATCTTTAAAGCAGCATCAGCTGACCACAGAGCAAATAGCCATTTCCCTGGATCTCCCACCCAGGTGCAGAAATTCAGACTTTGGTCCCCTTTGCCGGCTGCATTCTCGCTGCATGGCTTCATACATCAGCTAGTAGCCATCAGCTATCAATGCTCATTTAAGCAAGCAGCTTTCAGCCCGTCTAGGCCCGTTAAAGAAACATCTCTACCCATTTGTTATCTCATCTTTCACACAGCCCTAGCCAAGTGATTGTGGATATTTTAAATAGCTGGTTTCTGTGGCTTGTATGTATTATGAAAATCAGGTAGATCTGCATATCCTAGATTTGTTTGTATGTGTTACTCAGGAGGCATGGCTCTGAACTCTTCCTTTCCTCATCTCCGCAGATGAGGTAGAACAAGTATGGCCCCGGTCACACGGCAAAGTTGCAGCGGGAGAGGCACGGGAGTCCCACGGATTTTCCAGGCGCGATCTCACCCCAACACCTGGGAAGCGCAGTGCTCCCGTGGCGAACCCATGGCTCCCTGTCGAAAGTGCGGAGTTAAAAACTAGTACCTACAAGGTACTAGTTTCCTGAAACCGTGGGCCAAGGGCGGGCGTCTGATCGCGTTCCAGTGGACTTACGTGGCATCCGGCGCCCGCTGCTGTTCATCTCCGCAGGTTGCGCAACAGCACATGCGCACAAAGAGTGATTGCTAGTGCGATCGCGCTGCAGGATACCTGTCTGATCGGCATTTCCCCCGAACCACGGGACCTCGACCAGGACGTGTGCTCGGGCAGCCGCGCATTAGTTTCCTCTGGGGCAATTAGCCACACCTCCCCCCCCCGCGATATCCAGCCCGTGTGACCGGGGCCTATGTTTGGAACCCTTTCATATTGCAGGTGAGGGATCACAAGATGGGGAGGGCTGAGGCTTAGAGCACTTGCACTGCAAGCAGAAAGTCCCAGGTTCAATCCCCACCAGCATGTTCAGTTAACAGGCTCAGGCAGTAGGTAATGTGAAAGACCTCAGCCTGGGACTCTGGAGGCTTGCTGTCAGAGTGCAGAACATTGATCCTGATAGGCCAACGGCCTGACCACATATGAGGCAGCTTCTGTTTATGTGACTGAAGGCCCCTTTCCCATACCAAAAAAAATCCCCTGCATATAGAAGGCTAGCATCTCAGGGAAAAGAGGTCCAAGCTAGTCTTGTCCTTGAGACGTTTTCTATCTGAAATGACTCTTTTTGGTCTGAAAGCTCATTCAGTCCTGTAAATCCTCACCTGTAGCCTTGCAGTGGTGCAACCCAGGTAAAGGTTGAATACCATTTGTAAGAACCAGGCCTGAGTTCAATGCCACCTACCACCCCTGACCAACAGCAGCTGCAGAATTCAGTGTCTTGACAAAGCTTTCATTTGTGAAAAAGGCAGCTTCAGGGGCATGAAGGTTTGACCTTGACTTCCAAACAGGGAGGCAGTAAGTTGTTTGAGGGAAAACAGTGAAGTGTGGGGTGTCCTTGGTTCAAACCTTATTGCCATGGTGAACTCACTGCTACTTGGAACCCAGCCACCACCTTCAGCCGTGGTGGTGGTGGTGGACAATGCCATCAACTCGAAGCTGCCTTATGGCAGCCATGTAAGGTTTGAATGGCAAGAGACATTTCAGAGGTGGTTTGCCGTTGCCTGCCTGTGTGTCAGGAGCCTGGTGTTCCTGCAAGGGCTCCCATCCATTTACTAACCAGGGCCAGCCCTGCTTGGCTTCCAAGATCTGATGAGACTGAGCTAGCCTGGGCTATCCAGGTCAGGCTACCTGTCTCCAGTATGAAAATAATGGTGCTGGCCTGCCTTATGGGGTTGTTGGAAGGATTGCTGAGATTATATCTGGAGCAGTTCAAGAGTGAAGTACTCGGCACTGTAGCCCTTGGCACTTACACTGGACTCGAGTAAATATACTGTAAAGCTTATATCCAAACAATTACGACTGTCTATGCCGGCAGCCAATTTCCCCCTCTTCTGCTCTTTGGGGAGGGAACTGGGGACACAAGAGTCTACCAGCAACTTGTGAGCTGAATCTCTTTTTTGCTTCTTATTTTGGTTTCGCTCCTCTCCCGTTTATTTTGGAGCTGCCGGTGAAGGGAAAGGCGGGAGGCAGGCTCAACTCAGACGGGGATGGCTGCCTAAGAGGAGATCCCGGGAGGGGGGCGGAGGAAGTCTTTGCTCAAGAGCTGGGTCGGGCTGGGGAAGGGAGGGGGGGGAAGGAAAATTAACAAGGGGGAGGGGACGGGAAAGAAAGAAAGGCGTGTCCGTGGGAGAGCTGCGGGCGAAGCGTGCGTAAGGCAGGGCAGTTTCTTTCTGGCTCGGGCTCGCCTGTCTTCCTTCCTCCGTCGCCTTCCCATGGAGTTGATCGCCTGGCGGGGGCTCCTTCTGTGCCTATAGGCGGGACTCGCCTGCCATCGCCCGCTTCTTTCCTCGCTGGCTGCTGACGCTTCCTGACCGCCATGGGAGACGTGATTTCCGCGCACCTGGACGAGAGCCGCCGCCAATTCATCGCAGGTAAGGCGAGCCGCAGGGGCGCCGCAGGAGCCGGGACGCGACGCGCGGGGGCCAGCGGGGTTTGTGGGCGGGAGGGTTCGCTTCTGCGCAGGGAAGGGCTTTCGCCCAAACCCCGCCGCCGCCGCCGCCGCCGTTGCTTGGACGACGCCTCTTTTCTATACTCCCTAGAGTATGCAGGGTGAAGTGAGGAGTGCAAATCGCCCGGGTGGCTGGAAAAGAGTGGAGAATCCCTTTCCCAAACATCAGTGGAAGGTCAAGCCGTGATCCCGCCCCGGCTCAGCTCCTCGATGGCTTGTTTCAAATTTTATGTTAATAGACCTTGAAAATCCCCCCCCACCCCTCCACGTTGCAGCTTTCAAAGTTCTTGGGATAGACTCCGCCACGCCCTTTTCTTTCCTCTGGAAACTTGGGAAGGGGAGGCAGGAAAGGTGTTCCTTGTTCGAGAGGCAAGTCTCTGCAAAGATTTCTTGGCCTGACTACTGGGGCGGGGGGGGGGGGAGAGGAGAGGCCATTCTGGGTTTGTGGCTGCAGAGCCACCCCCCCTCCCGCGGCAACATATAGGGGGTGGTGGCAGAGCCCGGCGGCGGCGGGGGGTCGTCCTCATTGGATGCGAGAAGAGTCAGGGCGGCCGCTCTTCTCCCAACGCCTACGCCAAATGTGCTTTCGTTAATACACATTTAATTAGTAATCTTTCCATGCCTTTATCTAGCATACCTTTCCTGCTAATTTCCTACGGTGGGCGGTTTTTGTTAGTTTGAGGCTGAGGGAGCAAAGGAGGTCTAAGCACTGTGGCAGGCTGAAATCCGGCAGGTGAAGTTTTTCCACGGGGGTTAAATGATGGGGAGGAGGGTCATTTGTTGGATTTGTGCCCGGAAAAGCCACAAACGCCTTGTTGGGAGACCGCTCTGATTCAAGGCAGGCTTGTGAGCAGAGATCGAAGAATGCTTTTCTGAACGCTGGTCCTAAACCGAGGGAGTGGCAGCAGTTTGGACCTGAGTAATATGGAAAATCAGAAGGGGTGTCACATGGTGTCAGAAGTGACCATAAATCAATTAAGCCTTGGAGGTGCTGGAGGCTCTGTTTGCTCAGTTCTCACTTGGCCTGATTGATTTGTAAAGCGGTTTGCTTTCAAGATTGCTGGGGATCAGGGCTTAAAGTCCACAGCTAGAACACCTTAACGGCAAACTAGGAAGGGTGTTCTGCAAACTCAAAAAAAGGGTGCTGTTCCTACTTGGCCCTTCAGATCCTAATACTCCAACTCCTGGTTTTCTTAGGACAAAATATATATATAAACTTAATGTTTAGTGGCAGACTTGGTGTCTTCAGAGTGGGCCGCTTTTAACCCGGCTGAACTTGATTCTAGAACCACGTCTGTGGCGTTAGGTCTGGGGTGGTTTAAGAAATGAGAAATGTTTCTGAGTATGTGTGGAGTATTGCCCTGCATGGTAGAGAGATCCCATCTGGCATGGACATTTTTGCCAGTTTAAGAAAAATTATGGGCTGGGCAATGTTTTTGGTGGGCAGTGATGTGGCTTGGGCTAGCCCGAGGATTTACTGTTCCTTGTTTGGCATGTAGGGTCCCTGTTGCCAAGGATGTCTCTGTGCCCTTGTGGGAACAGGATAGATGGCTCCTTGTTGGAAGGGAATTCCCCTCTTCCCCCATAAGTGGGCTGAATTTTAGCCAAGATCCTGTCTTCTGTACAATTTGCTCTCTTGCCCCAGGAGGTATCGGCCTGATTATAGACTAGGAATGGGGGGGGCAATGCTAATTGCTGCCTGCAGATACTTGATTGATCCTAATAAGGGGAGGAAGGAGGAGAGGTCAGTAGTCAGAGAGGGGGCAAGCCTGCTGTGTCTGGCTCTTCTCTGCCCCCCCCCATAATTGACAAGGCCAAGCCCTGCCCGTTCTCAGACTTGACCTCTTGCAGTCTTTGCAAGTTTGATTCACATTTGCTCTTTATTTGTGGTCTCCAAGGCATCTAACAAGAATCCAAGACAGCAGTAGGGAATAATCAGATAATTAAAAACAAGGAAGCTAAATGAAAGGACAGTAGTATTGCAGGTTTCTGGTTAGTGGAGCAGCCCTGAAAGCTCCCTGGAGAATTGCTTTGGCTGACTGCTGAAATGTCAATAGAGAAGGCAAGGCAGAAAGCAAACTTCCAGCAGAAGGCAGTTCCACAGTCTTGATTCCACTTCAGGGAAGGCCCGGTCCCACATAACCTCCCTTTGCCCTTCAGATGCCAAGGGCACAGGGCCTCCCAAGACGTGCTTAAGGTAGACAAGAGTCATCAGTCTGGGGTGAGATAATAAAAAGCCTTAGGGGCCGGGCTCCTGACGTGGTCTTCACCTCTACCTACGACTGTGTTCATAAGCAGGAAACTGGCCGTTGTAAAGCAAAGCTGGCTGGTTCTGGGGGGGGTACAGGAAGGTGCTCCTCTCTTTTAATGGCTGCTGTTCTGTTTGTTTGTTTTAAGTGCAGAAGTGCTCTTTTGGTGGGATCAGGGTCCAGCAACATGAATACATAAAACTATGTTATCATTTCGGGGGGGGGGAGGCTAAAAATACAGGTGTGAGCATCGTTGGGTGGAGTACAAAATATTTCACTTTATCTGAGTTTCATACCCTCTGCCCTGTTGGCTTTCAGTTCCTTGAGAAGTTTCTGAAAGCACATTCATGTCCAGGAGCAACCTCCACTGATGTCGTTGGGGCTCTACTCCCCGCAGACAGTACATAGGATTTCAGCTGTGCAGGGGCAGTCCTTTTCCACTGATGTCCCCCAGACCTTTCCAAGAAAGCAGTCTGCTGCTGCTGCTATTTAAAGGGCCATCCATTCATGACTCGTGGTGCATGGTCAAGTGGAAGGGATGAGTTGTCCTTTTTCGGGAAAGAACTGGTTGGTCCAGTGGAGTCTTCTTCCCCCCCCCCCCCCCCCCCCGCAGATGTGTGAATCATACTGGAGTTGGCTTCTGTGGAAGGCCTACATCTGTGGTGTTTAACTTGATGACCTCGAAGGCTTCTTAGGGAACTTTGTTGTAAGCCAGAGGCGTTGCTGCGTACATTTGTGAAGTGCATTAAATTTATTAGTTGCTTGCCTAATTTCATGCATCATTTCCCTGACTGTAAAAGATTTGTCATAATCTCCAATGTAATTTGTTGTGTCTGTAGTGACTTGGTTCAGACGTTGAGCCAAACTGCGGTTTGTAGGAACCATTGTTGAGAACCAAACCATGGCTTGAGCTTCCAACAGCTGGGAAAACTGTCAAATTAACATTCCTGTGACGCAGTGGATTCTAATTCTAGTTACTGGCTGTTGATAAACTGTACTCTGTCAATTCAGGTTTTGTACCAAACCATAGTTAATTTGTTAACCTTTGTTTAGTTTGGTGTCTGAATGGAGTAAAAAGTTTTGTTGTTGTTGTTCAGTCGCGCAGTCGAGTCGAATTGACTTTTATGCTTCTGTTAAATGTAAAGTGCTTGACTTGCAATGGAAATTAAGTCAGACTTTTTTGCTCCTTAATTACTGTGTCACCATGGTTTTCATTATTCTCCCTGCAGTCATGAGGACTAGAAACTTAGATTTAATACGGAAGTTGGGCATTTTGAGACCCATGAGATGCTACAGGTGGCATACAATACCAGGGAGACCCTAAAGAACCAACTTAAAAGAACCTTCTGGTTTCTCAAAATTACATGTGTGACTTTTTTCACTGGCAGGTCTTTGTTTCAGCCCAGTCAGATTAGTTGGAAAGCTATGGAAAAGGATAAAGAGGGAGTGACCTTTTACATTTTTATCCCAGTCTCTCTCCAGAGAGCTTGGGGCAACATACATGGCACTCCTAACCTTGATTTGTATCTTAACAACAGTCCTGTGAGGCATGCTAGGCGGAACAGGGACTTAACCTGAGTCTCAGTAGTTTTAGTCTGCAAAAAAAGTCTTTTCCTCAGCTTCAGATCTGTGCTGCATCTTTGTAATTCGGGCAGTGGGGCCAACCCTTAATTTTTTCCTTTCCTCTTACAAACCCTGGAAGGCCAAGGGTGTTTCCCAGTGGAAATGGGAGCCAATTAGGATGTTACAAGAAAGCTTTTGAGAGGCTGCCATTGATAAAAATTCTTTGCAGGTGTTTAGTCAGTTACTACCAAAATCTACCTGAGAGTACCCCACCCCCAAGCTCAGGAGAGGCTTGGTCCAGGAAGTGGGTACTGTGCCCTGTGGTTTTACCGTTGGGTTTTTCCCCCATTAAGAATTCATTCCTCCTTGATCCTAATCTTTGCCCAAACAGGCCCTGTTTTTGCCAGCCTGTGGCAGTATCCTTAAAAGTCTAAGCAGTAGGCCCATAGCTAGCAAGGGGCCCACGGGGCCTGCCCCCCACCCCACAGTTTTAAAGGGCCCCTCCCCTGATTCTCAGCTCCCCCTCCCTCCCCTGAGCAGCTCAGAGCAAGAGTAAGCACCTTCCGGCTGTGTGTACTACGACCCATCCACACCTGCTTTTCCTAGCACCTCAGCCGCAGAAGGCACCGTTTGCTTTGGCCAAGTCCAGGCAGAAGACTCCGCCTCCTCTTCCCTCTCTGAGCCTTCCCCTGGTGGGTAAATCGCAGGTGACCCAACAATCAAAACAGGCCCTTCCCTTTACCTCCCCCCACCCTTCAGGGAGGCAAGCGCGCAGTCCGAGGTGTCTACACAGGAGTACGCTCTCCTATGGGGAGAGAGACTGTCTCGTTTATAGAAAGTAGTTCCGCCGTAGTTTAGTCAAACCATTGGAACTCCCCCCCCCCCCCACATTTCAGC